TTTTCGGCTAAACATTAGGAAGAACTTCCTGACAGAGCAGTTCCTCAGTGGAACAGGCTTCCTCAGGAGGTGGTGGGTTCTCCTCCTTTGGAGGTTTTCAAGCAGAGGCTAGATGGCCATCTGACAACAGTGCTGATCCTGGGAATTTAGGCAGATCACGAGAAGGGAGGGCAGGAAGAGTTGCATCAGTGCTTAGCAGGGCTTTTTTTGTAGAAAAAGCCCAGCAGGAACTCATTAGCATAATAGGCCATACCCAACAGCAGAAACTCAGTAGCATATTAGGCCACACCCCTGACAGCACAGTTTATTAGCCTATTAGGCCAAACCCCCATGTTATCAGAAGTGTGGTCATCCAGCCACACCCACCTTTTGCTTCTTATTCTGTTTACCTTGTTTGTTGTCAAAACCCAGGGCTTTTTTGGGGAGCAGGAACTCCTTTGCATGTTAGGCCACACACCCCTAATGTAGCCAGTCCTAATGAGTTTCTGCTGTTGGGTGTGGTCTGTTATGCTAATGAGTTCCTGCCGGGCGTGGCCAACTTGGGAGCCAGCCGGAACTCCGTTCCTGTGTGTTCCTGCCCAAAAATGGCCTTGGTGCTTAGTTCTCGTGGCCCTTTCTTACACGCCCAGCGAAATGCTGATCGCCACTTGGGGGTCAGCAGTTTTTCTCCAGGGTAGTTTGGCTGAAGATCCTGGAGGGTTTTTGTTTTGTCATCTTCTGGGCATGAAACAGGGGTCACTGGGGGTGTGGGGGGGTATTTGTGAATTTCCTGCATTGTGCAAGGGTGCTGGACTACATGACCCTGGAGATCCCTTCCAACTCTATGGTTCTAAGCATCTTGCTGTGTTTGCGTATCTCTTCAGCATTGCAGCTACCTCCTTTATTACAACGAGGCTGCGGGTGGAGAAGGTTGTTCATATATTACATTTCTCTCTAGCTCAGCCAATTTTTTCCCTCATCCCGATACATTTTGTGGCTTCTTTGTAATGTCCCCAAGTTCTATTCATGAGGACGTTGTGGCTTTGCGGAGTTCTTCACAGATATCTCTCAACAGCCACGGGTAAAGAGCGAGAGTGGTCCAATTGGTCCCAAATGAAGCAGAGAGATACTTGTTCAGGGGCGGGACACAGGGATTACCCCTGTGCTTAAAGATCTACACTGGCTGCCCAGCTGTTTCTGGCCACAATTCAGAGGGCTGGTTCTTGACTTGAAGGACCTAAAACAGTTTGGAGCCCGGGTCCTTGATGGACAACCTCCTCCCATACCGTGCGGCTCTGAGCTGAGCGGTCCTTGTGGGCGCAGCTCAGTCCAGGGCTGTTTGAACATCCCAAACATGAACAATCGCAGACAAACCAAATTATCCTTAATGTTGTTGGGATATTGGCGAGCTCTCTTCCTGTTTGTCATGAAAACATTTCCTGTTTGTTATGCATGCTAATTTCAAGTTAGAGATCCGATAGAATTGTCTACATGTTTTTCCCTGCGAGAGCAAGGTGACAGAATGCATAATTGGCTAGTGTTGGGATTCTCCAATTGGATAATCAATGGTTTGGGAATGAGCCAAGGGAGAGAGCTTAGGGTTTCCATTTATTGCTCCTCGCTGTCCCTCTCCTCAAAGTTCCCCCTGAGTCTCAAGTTAAGTCCTTAGAGAAGCAACACGTGGCTTAGAGCTAGCAAGGATGGTTTATTTTACTTTTGTTTTCCAAGTCCAGGGGTCATTTACTGCGGGAGCACACAGGAGCAGAGCTCCGGCAGTACGGAGCCCAGGGGGTGCACACATGCAACAAGCCCCACCCCCTGCTCCCAGCAGCCCTCAGTCAGGCCACAAGGAGCAAGAAGCAGCCAGGTAAGTTGCAGAGCCCCCCCCCGGCCCACCTTCAGGTACAAGCTCTCCCTCCTCTGTGAGGACAGATCT